ATATTTTAGACGATACATGATTATTTCAAAGGAGTGCATGTCAAACTTTACCAGAATCGAAAATTTCATTATTTATATTGATCTTAATTGATTATGAGCTGTATCGAGCTTCTATGCAGGACGTTTATTCATATTTCTACGCTCATTTTGTTAAACAATGTTACACAGCGGAAAAACGATCATCGTCTATAATTTGAAACAAAACACCCTTGATAAGTTTTTTGAAGGAAGAAAATAGCCTAATTTCTATCCCATTAGACCCTATGTAAAAGCTGTTCCACTGTCTGCTCACATAAGATGTAAGTTTGAAAATCAATTATCCAAGAAACATGCTTGCCAAGTCATTAAAAATGGTTCAATCCAAGAAACTTGCTTGCAAAGTCATTAAAAATAGTTCAATCAAATTAACATTGTTAGGATTATGTCTAGCAGTCTCGATTTGTCTATTAGACGGTGGGAGTCCTCAAAAACCATTTCAGATCTATTTTGATCCTCATAACCTATATAGATGTAGATAAAATGTCAAAATTATTTTCTATTTAGAGTAACACCTTAAAGGTACGTTGTATAAAGGAATATCTTACATTTTGGTTCCCACTGTCTGTATCACTCTGCTCAGCTTTTCATATATTTTATATCACGGCTTTGTGACGTCAAATACGTTAACCTAGCCTAAATAACTTTGACCCAAACGACGTTGATAAGTTTGACCCATACTTATCAAGTCATCTTCCGGTTTGCTGGTGAAACAAAGACAAACACTTGTTTCGATCATGCAAAATACACAAATACAATCCGATTAGTCGATTATCAGATTTTCATCATATTTATATTGTAAAATATCAGCTGCACGTCGCAATATGAAGCCTTTTTGAACTCATTCGCTGCGCCCACTCTCCAAAAACCTTCATATTGTGACTCGCAGCTGATATTTTACAATATCAATATACAGACAACCTGATAATCGGTAAATATTGGCTGATCGGAATATATAAATACCATTAAGGTCTGATTGAAAATTTATCATGTTACATGTATGGTTTTTATACCGACCTAAAAGCGTGTGACAACAGCACGTAAAAGAACCTTTGTAACAACTCATTGTAGTTTTTTTCTGTTATTAAGCTAAATTGATGACTCTTCCCCAACTTATCCGACCGATTCATTAATCTTTTTGAACCTACCTAATTGTTTTATTCTATGGATGGTTTATGATACACGATCACCAATCATAAGATCACATATCATTAGTGATTGGCTTTACTATGGATGGTTTATGATACACGATCACCAATCATACGATCACATATCATTGGTTATTGGCTTTACTTAAAATGACAAATCGCGCAATTGAGCGTCGCTGTTGCTTAGTTATTCTGGTAAAAATAAATTTATCATGGTGACTTAAAGAATGTCTTACAAAAATGTTTAACCGCTCCACATTATATATGTGCCTGTCACAAATCAGGAGCCTGTACTTCAGTGGTTTGCTGTCTGCCATATTTGTTTTTCGTTTATTGCTTTGTCGTAAATCAGGCCGTTGGTTTGTTTCGTTTGAATTGTTTCATATTTGGCATGCCTGGGACTTTTATAGTTGAATATACGGTATGGGTTATGATCATTATTGAAGACCTATATGTGCTTGAATCCAGTGCATTGAGACTCTGTTGGGTCGTCTCCTTATTTTATATTCATTATAACAATGATAATTACCCGTTTATAACAAATATGTGTGCGTTTGGACAACAAGAACTGGTGATACCCTCAGGTATAAGCATTCCACCAACAGCAATATCGACTCGGTGCTAGACAAGTTTGTTTCTTTCTTCCTGATAACTTGTAGTTGGCATTTCGTATAGACTAGATTGCATTTATTCTCAAGTTGTTGATAGTAAAAATATTGCAAATATTTTTTTTAATCGGATACATATTTTTAAATGAATTTTTATGCAGATTTTTGCTAGCGTTTGATAAATATATCAAATACTTATTCTCATAACACAACATTTCTATTGCATACTGAAGAAAATTTGCAGTATAAATACAGGAATACAATGGAAATCGTGCTAATTTCTACTAAATTTAGTTTTTAATAAGGCCTTTTTTTTAAACGAAATCTTTCTTTCACAGAGTTTTCAAATATTGTTTTTTTTTCAAATGTACAGTTTATTTTAAAATTAATAAGAACGAAATTCTTAACCAAAACCCAACTTTAATGGACGTAGAGCGACTTATTGTTTATTTTTTTTTGTGTTATAATGTAGATATATCCATTCGTGCATTTGTTTTAACAAAAACATTTCAAATTTAAAGTATTACATTATAGCAGCTTCACGTATATACGAAGAGAATTTCTTACAGCAAAGTTTTGGAGAAAATATAATGGATAACAGAAGAAAGATCCTTTTTGTTCCTATGGAGTTTGGGTTATGGGAATTACATTGTAAATGTTGTAGAGGTGAAATGCTCACATGTTTTAATAACTCCATAACGGTGACATCATTGACACTGCTACTTATAATATATATATATACTAGCAATGAAGCAAATGCACTGTTTTGTGTCATTATTTTAGTTTTTGTTGAGTTTGGATCATTTACTTTGAACTTGCTGTTTTTCCTTCAGATGATCCACAAGAGAAAATTCCCAAAATGCTTGTGTGTATGTATAAGTCGCATGATAATTTTCCAGATTTTCAAGGTGTACAAAGAGTGTGTTCGCTATATAAATCTGTAGCTTTAGAATTGTTCGTCAGTTTATGTCGTGAAGTACAAATTGTATATTCAGACGTTTTGATGCGTCTCGTCGACTGTTCTATTTACAAGTACTACGAGCAGGCAAATCCTACCATATCTCCTTGCTTTTTTTTTAATTTTATAAAAGATTGTATAGTGAACACAATATATTTACCTCTAACCTCCCCCAATTCTAAACGTATATGACTAAAATTAAAAATTTTATGTGATCTGTTGAATACTACACTTAAACTTTTTGAAACTTGCATGATTTAGTTTCCCTCATGCCTTTCGATGAAATGGATGTATGTTAATAATTTGCCCAATGGACCCCCGTGTGATTAATACACGTTTTATTGCAATTACAAAATTTAAAAAAAATCAAATCAAATTGGTGTCCTTACAAGTAGCTCATACCAATATGTTATGTATATGTAGTAACATGTATATTGTCAATAACCAATGTATATCATTTATAATCACTTTTAGATTGTGTATTTTGTGATAGTAATATTTTTGTTTTAAAAAAAGTTGGTAGGAAAGTTGCCAGTAATATTGTTTGCAAGCTATAATAGTTAACAGTGTGTTCCTGGTGCAATTAAATTTTATAATATCATGGCGTTTACATCCACATCATCGTGGTTGCTGTTAACTACAAGGTGCTAATTCAGTACGAATTGTTTGGTAAGAAAATATCAACTCTTACAATTGAGAGACCGTTTATATTGGTGAAAAGAAATATTTGCACTGTATCAAAATGGTTTGAGTTTATATGTTACTTGCGACATTTTTTAACGTGATGAAATATATACCAGTAATACGATTGACGGGTGGTTTTATTTTCTCGCCTCCGACGAAAGTCGCGGAAAGCGAGACATAGGGATTGCTTTTCTGGCGGCGGCTGCGGCATCAACAATTGTTAAGTTTTCTGCTTAAGTTAGTTTGATAGGAACTACTTGTGAGTAGGTCATTGATATTTAATATAAAGTTGCATTATTATCGGTAGATATCAGTTTGAAGACTATTTTGAGGCCCTACCCCTTAGGACATGGTCCAGTGACTTTGATTTAATTAGCAATTTTCAATGTTAAGTTTTCTGCTTAAGTTAATTTGATAGGATCTACTTGTGATAGATCAATGATGTTTTGTATGAAGTTGCATTACTATCAATTCGTATCAGTTTCACGACTATTTCGAGGCCTGCCCCCTAGGTCATGGTCCAATGTCTTTGAATTATTTTATAAATTTTCTATGTTAAGTTTTCTGCTTAAGTCAGTTTGATAAGAACTACTTGTGATAGATCAATGATATTTTGTATAAAGTTGCACTACTATCAGTACATGTACATATTAGTTTGACGATTATTTTTAGGCCGTGTCTACTAGAATATGGTCCAGCGACTGAATTAATAAAGCATGTTGCTGTCCATCAGATTGCCTTTTCTGAATTTTATGACGACAGTCGAGACATATCTCTGTGTCAACAGTTTATTGATGAATGTTGTTATGATTGATTAGAGTTCTGCGTACACATTTTATTTTTTGTATAAAACAACATATGCCTTTATAAATAACAATAGCGATGTCTGATTTGTTTTGATGTGTATTAACTTTTGTGTTCAATGAAACTGAATTTATTCTCAGATCATTCTGTCATGATGCTATATGTACGTACATGCATATAAATGGATATATTCGAGTAGGAACTTATTTCATGCTTATAAACCAACTTAGGCACAGCATTCACCGACTTAGAAAGATTGTGTACAAGATTTTGGATTTCTTTCTTAAACTTCGCAATTCGTTTTACCTTCCACTGATGACAAAATTCGAATTTATCGTATTAAAGTATAAGCATGGTATCTTATAGGACTTTTTTAAAATCCGTACCGACATTGAAATTGGTCAGCTGTATTATTTTGCACTTAGCAGTTAATGCCACTAGTGGAGCAGGCATCTATTTAATTTATTGGGGGCATAAGTTCACACCGTTTTTGTGTTTGGTTCATGTTGCTCCATTCTTGAATCTTATACATGTATGTTAAATGTTTTGTGAATAATTTTTGTGATTTCGTCATTTGCTGTTTGGCAATAGCTATAGATGGTGTCGTCAATCCGTCAACTTAACATATTTTTTTAATGCCGATCCCAAAATCCCTGAAAATGTATTTATAATGTCAATAATTAATTTTGTTTATATTATAAATCATTTTGTATATTTTTTTAAACTTGACACTATGTCTAAATTAAATTATTTCCTATACAGATAACATAGAAGTATTATATGACGAAATAAACGGATACCGTTTTATGTTCAGAGGTATACCAGTATCATTCTCAACCTCCTCCTCCTTCTCCTCGATACATTTTTTTTAGGCTAGCTATATACACATATATATATATATATATTCCTCACACTATAGAAACTCATTCTCCAACTGGATCAATTTCTGTCAGTGACTTGTTTGACTTCATACTATATAGGCAGTTGTTTGCATGGTAGGTAGTCTCGTCTAGGATTGTCTGTATGCAATCTCGCAAATTATATTGTACTCTCTGGATCATACCGATTCTTATATCGACAGTTGTTTTGCTTCTTATTATTCTTAGACGAATCATGTATTTATATATATTTAATAAATGTATTAAATAAGAATTTGTAATAAAATTAATTCTAAAATGTGATTTTTATAACATTTGCATGTTTTCCATATTGTAAATGTGAGTTTAACTAATACCTTTTATAAATTACGTGCTTTGTTTTGTAATGCGTTAGCTTTTCAAACTCATTATTTAATTAGCCAGCCATTCTATGCATGCCTTTGTTGTGGATAATTATTTTATTATGCATTCTCAGTTTTTTATTGTAGTTAAATCTTGGTAGATTTTTATTAACTTTTCCTAGATGTTCAACTTTCTGAATTTCTGAAATTTTCAATATTTTTATTTAACGATTTTGCTTGAAAGTTAAATTGTACTCTATATATGCTTTTCCGTGAATACTGCATATGTTTATCAAATTTAAAAGGTGGTAGCAATTGTAATTGCTTGAATGATAAAACACTGTCTATATTTTATTGTATTCGTGTGGCTGATCTGATTTACATATATCGTATTTGTTTTTTCTCTCACAACTAACCATTTATATTTCAGATACACTTCATGACAGCTCCCCGGGGCCTCTCAGAAGACTGTCTACGATGATTCATGCCTCATTTCGGGGGTCGCGTCATGGTTCCAGACGAAACTCAGACGAGTCTATTCATTCGTTACGGTTAGGCAGAACTAGTGTGACGTCACCAACAACTCTTTCTTCTCATAAATTAATTCGCCAACTCACTTCAAAAACAGCAAAAGGTAGTTCTCTCATCAGGAGAGATGGTTCTATCATCATGATCAAAAATGGAAAAATCATATCAATGAGACGCGATCCATCTTTTTCTAAAATGCAAGACGATGTTTTTCTTCCTTCTCCTTCTGAAACGACTCTTCATTCAATGGAAATGTCTTACTCCAATCATTCTGCTTTGAACAAAGTAAAAGAGGAGAGCTTTGAAACTGAACCTCTATTAAACGACGACAAAACTAGTCAACAAATGACAACTGGAAATGGACATGTCAGTCATATTGCGACATCACCTGACAAAAATCATAACATGAAAAACCATTCGAGTATTCCTGAATCTAATAAAGCTAATTTTTCACGGAAGCGACTGACACGAATGGCTCGGGTGACATCAAATTCAGACGATAACATTGCTGTAAACACATCAGATTGTGATATTCAAATTTCAAGTTTTGACCATGATTCCAGTCCGGAAAATACAAATGGCTTCAAATTTCATTCTAGTCATCAAGACTATATAAATAAAATCCATGACAGAATATATACAAATACCATGAAAAGGGCAAGCAGTGAAACAAATATGAAATTACATAATGCAGCAGCGATATCAACTTTTAACACTACTTCTAAAAGCTCAAATATTATATACAATGTTCCATATTTAGAATCATCTCTTAGAAGTTATAGTGACCTTCATGAACAGTCAAGTTCTAGTGACCCAAATATGACAAAACAGGCGATACCGCAGTATCGCCATAGGTATACTGTAAGTAAAGAAAATATCAGATGTAGTCCAAAGAAATAATAACAGGATTTTATAGTGTTATATGTGAATTTTTATAATTAAATGGCATAAAATGTATGAAAGGGTATCTATCATCTAAATTTCTGTTTAGAAACGCAGGGTATATAGTAAATGAAAATAACACAAATTTCACGCATTTGTAAACCTGCGCAATAAAAACACTGAAGTATTTGTTTTTTAAAGGAATACAAATATTTAAGAATAAAACAATTAATGTTACTGTCATGATCGCAGAGTCGTAGGAATGACAGTCAGTTGAGTCAAGTTAATTAAAAAGGTATTGGTCCATTGATAGTAAAACAAAGGCATATACCAGTAAAAAGTCGCTGAAAGACAGACAACAATATGGCAAAAAAATAAGAAACAAAAAAATATACGTGTTAAATATAACTAAATATTGAACAGAACGAACCCCTTCAACCAAGGCTCCGAAAGGGTAAATAGTTTCTGATCAATAAGCTAGTAGCCCTTTTAATAAAGTATCTAAGATCAAAAGTATCGTATATCTAATTGGAACAATAAGATACAAGGCTTTTGAAATAGTCTCTTTCGTTTTATAACTGGTAGTAAAATCAAGCAATTGATATGCAAGTCAATTGAATAAACAATATGAATAGCGATATCCATGTTTTTCCATGAAAAACAACAATTTAGAAAAAAAAACTACTTATCCACCATTTTGTTCTCTTGTCATGCGATTTCTTGTAAAGGAAGGAAAAACAAACGTAGAAATATCTTGTTTTAGAATTGGACAACCATTTTTTGAAAAAAGACTTTCTTAATCACAAATCTTTATACTAGAATCAATTTTTTTCTGCCCCCCCCCCCCTTTTTGCAAGCAGAAAAAAATAAGTTTGTCAGAATTCCCCTATTATGTACGTTCATGTCATTGTTATGTTATTAGGATGAGTTATAAGGATTTTGGTATTTCCCTAGACTTTGTGAAATCGCCTAGATACTCGTCTAAGATAAATTAAGAACTTGAGAAATAGGACAGTACAAATGTTCAAATATAATTATTACTAATTTAGATCTGATAAAAACAAATAGGCGGAAGATATATAGGAATCGGACATTGAAAACTCTTAGTCGGTCGAGAGAAAAGGATACGCCATGACAAAACACGACAGACGATGAAAAGGCACACAAGTTCATCAAACATTCCCTAGAAAAGACTGAGCAAGACGAACTCAATAAAAAAACTTAGGGTGATCTCAGGTGATCCTTAAGGGTAAGCAGATTCTGCTCCTCTGGTTGCACGACACCCGTCGTGTTGCTTATGGTAAGTTCAAATTTTGTAACGATTCTCATTCGGTGATATCAAAATTGAGGGGAAAAAAACGGGATTGTGATTTTAATTGGAACAGATATGTAGTCATCTGAAACACAGATATTCCCAAACGGCCAACCAACTCGTGGTGGCGTCCGTCTAATTTTCGAAGGATTTACTTCCATTCTACCACATGGAACCGTTGGTTCAATAGCTTTCTTATTAGCATCAGCCTTTTATCAAGTAAATAATGATAGGAAACGCAAGCTCAGGAATATCTTATCAACTGGGAGATATATATCGATATGCAGACGCTGTTGGAATGTTGCTACATAGCAATAGATGGGGAATACACAATCGAAAGCTGAAAACCCTTTTGTGGTAAAGATAGCATTCTTGTAAATGTATATACAATGTCGCATTATATCTCTTAACCCGCTGTAATAAAAATCAAACATTCTTTCATGCTCCATATTGACTTAATCGGAAACTAATTATAACCAAAAACTTAATGGCATTTGAGCTTGTCATACAGTATGAGCGACTGTCCATTTTTGAAGACCGTCGTGTGATTTACTTCTATATATTTTGATTGACATTAATGTGTCGTTAGATACCAATGTTATGGAAGTTTACCTCCTGTCATATGTTTAACTACAAGAATATGATAAATCACATCTATATTGATTGTCAAACGTCACAATCAATGAATATTCAAAGTTCGTAATATTTCAGGAATAAAACATTGGATTCCAATAACAGGATAGCAATATTCAAGGTTGCCAAAGATTTACTTTACTATAAATATTGTTACAGACATATCTGTTTTTTATCATGAGCATGACTAATGATTATTTTAATCATATTTTTAGATATAATATTTTTGACATTTACCCATTTTTCATATCTTTGCTTATAAGCAGTAGACATGATTGTTTATCAATAGAAATAGATTACACGTTACATTTTTGTATAATATTTCTGAAATCATCCATGCTGAAGTTTAATTGAAACTAATAATGAACAGTATTTACTTAGTTACTTTACTTCATACATGCTGTATCAAGAGTGCAATTATTTACAATGCATTTTCCATAGTGGTGTTAATTTTTTAGTCCCCTACCGACGAAGTCGAAGGGGACTTTAGGTTTGCACTCCGTCCGTCTGGCTGTCTGGCTGTCTGTCTGTCTGTCCGGCAAATCAGTTTTCTACACTTTTTTCTTCATTCTTGAAGATATTGATTTGATAATTGGTATATCATGACAAGTTACAGATCAAGTTCGAATTTTGTTCCGGTCTGATGATTTTGTGCAGAGTTATGGTCCTTGTACATAGAAAATTCACTAAAATAATTAGTTTTCCGCACTTTTTTTGTCATTCTTGAAGATATTGATTTGATAATTGGTATATAGTTTTATCATGACAAGTTATAGATCAAGTTAGAATTTTGTTCCAATACAATGAATTTTTAACAGGCAGGGGACTATGTATTGCTTAGCAATACTCACAGAATGCTTGTTTATTTTAATTCTTGACGAATAAACAAAGTAGAACAATGGGTAGCAGTTCCTGTTTACTACAAATATCAGCGTTATACTACAGTAAACAAAAGGCATATGGTTATGTGGTAAACGTTGACATATAGAAGCTTCTAATTTCTGAATTTATTTTAATGGAAAATGTAGATTTAGAATGGCTGCTTATTTAAATTAAATAATTAATATATTTTCTACAGTTTGTAGAGTATGGATTTAATTTTCTGGAATTTATGATCATTCCATCATGGAATTTACTGTCATCGAAACAGTATGCAAACACTATTTGATACAGTATTTGCATAGTCGTAAAGATTGATTACATACCAATTTGCATGAACCTATCGCAAATTGTTTAAGATGTGTTTTTTGCTTTTAAACACCCTTGGAGTCATGCCCTGAGTTGCATGAAAATTCCGATACTATTTGTCAAATTTACATTGATAATGAGTCTTCTGATTTGAGTCTAAACTTGCTATGCATAGTAACTAAACAGATTGCACAATTTCTTGAATAACCAAAAAATGTATTTCGCCAATAAATCTGTACTCCTGGCAAATATATGAAATCCGAATTCTTCGATACAGGCAACTCCTATTGTGCTAATAACACCCCAATATTCATGATCCGGTCTCCAATTGTGTAAGAGGATTTGAGAACAATTGATTTTTTTTTTTTTGCTTTTTGGAGCTCAAGTGGACCACGCCCTAAGGGGCCAAATGAAATTTAAAACCCTTGGTCTGATCGGGCGCCGCTGTTTTATGTAGACGAAACGCGCGTCAATCCCTGGGTCGATCTCCTTGTTGGTGGATGTTTCACCAATCCAATTGTTAGCACTTTTGTGTTGACATGGCATGTCATTTATTCGTTCATTTTAAGTAAATTTACTGTTTATAAAATGTTGAATTATTTGAAACACTTAAGGTTTTCTATCCAAGACATAGGCTTGTATAAAGTACAACTTTTAGATATCATATTTTTAAGTGATCTTCGATATGGCTGACTCTCCAAATGCAAGATAATATCAATGAAAGAATGTTAGTTTTTCTTTTTAAAAAAGACACCCGTACATAAATTCTTGTTCTTACTGTACTGATTGTCTAAAATGTGAAAGGGCAATATAAAATTCGTCAATTCGTTGAAATTCGTATTTACACTTTGGTACATTTGTAATTGTAATTAATGACAAAGGACAAAAAATACAATAAGGCTTAATCCATAAACTGGATTACATATATTTTGAACTTTGCTGAATTCTGTCGAGAATTATTCCAAATCAGGGTAAACTCGTAAGAACAAAGAATCAAACAATTTTCCAACTGGAATTAAATTGTGGGGTCATTGATGTACAATATTAGTTTTAGCGGGTCTTCAAACAATCACTCAACTGTCACACCTGTATTCAAAGACCCTCATATCGACAAATACTTCTCGTTTGAAGTCCATGAAAGGTATTCTGTCATCATCGTAAACAAGGTCCAAAACATGTTTTTCTCTAAGGAAAGGGTGTTAAAATAATTCTTTTTGACACCCAAAGTATACAAAATAACAATGGCTAATGAGGACATCTTCAAAAATCATAATAATAATGAACCTTTATTTACACTACCAGAAAAGCGAATGACACAAGAGTCCTTACAAACATCGCTTTTTTTTTATCTGCAAAATGATTAGCGAGTCTCTTTCTAAAATACTAAGATCTACTAACTTTTATTCAATCAGCAATTAAAATCGCGCTTAAGAGTCATTCGCGGGCGATGTGAAGATCTCTGTCAGAGAAACTATTATCAAGTCACTCTCCTCCTGACATATAACTAAATCATTTGAATTCCCGACTGCATTGGAATTTCAACCGAAGATGAATAAGTGGATTTTCCTTCCATGTACTGGATACCCTAAATTACGTAAGTGTCCTTACATTTAACGTAACATTGCTTTGTCTACCAAATGCTCTACGAAAGCTCTTTCAGGTTGATTAAAATCTATTTTATCACCAATCATAACCGGACTTGATAGCTACTGCGAAACTACTTACTCTAGAGACGAAGTGAATCTAAAAAAATTAAGTAAATACAATCCAAGACTTTTTCCTCGATTATAATTATTACAATCATCTACGTTTTACACTATAGTATTCCTCATTTTGAACGTAAAGAAACATTGTAAGAATAACAGTCCATGGAAAGTGCGAATCGAGAAAACCGTTTTACATGTGGAGTAGCGATATTTTCTTTTGTAAACGAGATGCATTGTGGGGAAATCTCAGACGAATGATGACATTTGAAGGTATAAAAGAAATTCATCAGAAAGTAATTGGTAATTCTTTTTAAAACATAGACGTATTCAACAGGACAAACGCATATACA